ATAACCCATCAATTGCCAGGGAAGTGTGTCATTTTATGCTAGCCAAAAACTTAGTACAAGAGGAAATAATATTTCAAAAATTAATTTAAACCTGAGCACAATTCACGAAATACTCAAATCAGTTATAACCATTTGATTTGAACTCCATTACAGCCAACGTGAAGCCAGTGGCCATGTCCAAAATAGAGTACTCAAATAAATGAGTGCAGTGCAGATCTTTGCGTAAAGTAACATGTAACATAGCTATTGAATCCTTCCCACTTCTCCCACACCTGGCTGGAAAGAACAGTTAAAAGCAAGCTGGAGCACAACCACTATTTTTAGGGCAGCCTTTAACCATTCCCTGATATATTTTTTTTTTTCTAAAAGAAGTCTCTTAATTATCAAGTCTGCAACCATTTCAACTGGAAATAAAAAGCACAGTTTTGTTCAGCTAAATCACAACACACCTTCTTATACCACATTACAGAATTGATTTTAAACATTTACTCTCCCTGTGCCATAGAAACCACTGGGCATCACAGCCCCATCACCTCAGCCCGACTGAGGGGCAGGGGCTGCCACTTCCCAGCCGAACCAGGGCCAGTCTTGGGGATGCTGCCAGGACCATCCCACTCCACCACCCTCAGAGAGGCCCTTGAGAGGCCCTTGAGAGCCCCAAGGGCAAGGCAGGATTTGAAGGGACGAGGCAAGGGCACACACAGGCACTGAGGGAGCTCAGGGAGGGCATCGCTGGAGCCTGAATGGTGCCGTGGGTGGGGCCCAGGTGGGGCAATTAGGGGTGTTGGGGCTTGCAGCTGAGGGGCTGTGCCCAGCGCAGGGCGTCAGCAAATAACATGTGAGAAACCCCGAAAAAAGTGGCAAAGTCAAGGGCCACGGCTTTGCACCTCCCACGCGTTCTTTCTCATGACCCGAGGCTGACTCCTGGCCACGTAAAAGGGGTTCGGGCTCCAACCCGAGGTGGCGCGCCAGGAGCTGCTCTGCCGCCCGGGGGTCCACGCTCAAGTCCCGAGGCAGGGCAGGGCAGAGCAGGGCAGGGCAGGGCAGGGCAGGGCAGGGCAGGGCGGGCAGGCAGGTGTGTCGGGGTCGATACTCAGCCCTGGGCTCTAGGCGTGTGGAGCTCCAGCTGCCTTCCCTGGAAAGGAGCCGCTTCCCTCCCTGTGTCTCCTTTAGGAGCGGGTTGCATGGGCTGCTCTGTCCTCCACCAGCCCAGCCAGGCACACTCATCCTGTGTAAAACAGAGACAGGGACACAGCAATCGGTTCTGTCCTCAGCAGATGTGCAGCCCTTACCTCAGCCCGTCCATGTCCGAGTGGGTGGCAGCATCAAGGGGAGGAGAGAGCATTTGTGCTGAAAGGCAAACTGCCAGTTAGTTTTGCTTTAACGCTTCCCCAAATCCAGCTGCTTTCAGTGGAGTTGAAAGATACTCACCAAATTTTTCCTTAAAATGTTCTTTATTTGCTATTTTGAAAATAGGGACTGAAATGTGTTCCAATTGGTGTCACCACAGGCACGTTTGTAGAAAAACTACAGAAGAAACAATCGAGGCGATAAGGAATTAAGGAAAACTAAGAAGGAGATAAAATACAGAGCAGATGGGAAAGTGAGGCTATAATTTTATGTAGACTATCTCAGTGTCTCTTTTCCACCGGCAAATGGTGGAAGTTCAATTATAGGTGGTTAGAAAAACATCAGGGCAAACAAATATTTAACACCATGTCTTGGAAACACCCCAATCGTTATGCAACCATTACAGACAAAAAAAGGGATACCAAAAATTAGTAAAATAAAATACCAATATTCATATTGCAGTGAAAAAAGAAATTTCATTTTGTTTAATTCTGGAATTGTCTGTTGTACCCATCAGTCGGAGAGGGAAAGAAACTAAAATCTGTTTTCGGAAATTCAGAAATAGAAAAATGCTTTTTACATCTAAATACAGCTCTTGCATTTGTTGAAAGAAAAGCTACTTTGATATTTGTTGCTAAATAAAATCTTGGATCAAGTAAACTTAATTAAAAAAATTAGTTAAGGCAACAATAAACACAGGAAATATACATGAATAAAGTGTTCTAAAAGTCAGGCAACTCTTTTAAGACTATAAATATCACCTAAGCGAGGCCACTATAATTAGCAAAGGGTGAACAAAAGAAGACATCCAGAAATAGATGGGGAGGGGGGAGGTTGGGAGGGTGAAATGTCTTGGTTAACCTTATTCGAGTGTTCTTTCCATAGCATAGGAAATGGTTCCAGCTAGCTCATGAGTTCTGTTGGTATTAACTGATTTTTAAAAGGACATTTCCATGTTGTCTGTATGCCAAGAAATTCTTTTACTGGCGTGTTTGCTGAATACAGGAAACATCGCCCTAACTAAGTGACACTGAATGTGACGAAGAATTGTATCTTTATTCTGGTGTTTCAGTCAACACAGTCTCTTTGTTTCAGCTGGAGACCTTTCGGTATTTATTGGGGAGGGAATACTTACTGCAGTCTCGCAGTTTGTCCTGAGTAATGAGCAAACACAGTGGCTGGTGGTGCTGAGTCATAATCCCTCACCACTCAAGAAGCAGCTTGCTGCATCCCTTGGGCAGCAGCTGATTAGTCTGAGGGATGATCCAGCACTTTAGTGGAGGTAGAGGCAGGGCACTCCAGTCACACACTAATCTACTTCATCTCTCTTCAAGGTATGGGCAGAAAAGACTAACAGTGCTGGGAATCTTCCTTGTCTCCATGCTATAGCCAGAATTCCTTGTGTGAGGAACTAAATGTGTACCTACAACTGCTTACTATCCTAAAGAGAGAGATGAACAAGTCAGTCTTTTATATAGTAATTTTCTGTGTAAGTCAGGCTGTGCTTATAGGCCCAGTCTTGTACTGAGTATCAGAAGAAAGCTTTACTGAAGCCAATGAGAATTTGTCTGAATAAGAAGTGCAAGTGAAGGTCTTGAATAGTGTATTTCCATTTTCACTCACAGCATTTGACAGTTTCCTGTTTTCTTCCATAAAGCTGCCTGTGTCAAGCATTTCAGTTTCATTTGCTCCGTGTTGTTTCTATATGCCCTTTTTATTATCTATTTTCTCTTTTCCTTTCTCTTTCTCAGGAACTGTGCTAGTGCCACAGCCACTACATAGGCAGCAGTAACTGCAATTATTTGTGGCTCCAAGCTCCACTGACCGCAGAGATCTTCAACAGTCAGTGGTTTCAGTGACAAGCCCTCAAATTCCTTGTTCCCCCTTTTTGGAAAAGGTGGAAATATTTGAGAAAAAGGTTCAGAGTGGGTGGGTCAGGCAGGCCAGCAGTCACAGCTTGATACTTCTGGAGCTCAGTGAAAATTGCAGTAAACCACAAAGATATTAAATCCTAAGTATTAACTTTCCTTCATGTAACAGCAAAAACATGTAGAAAGAATAACAGGTGACAATCATGCAAAGTTTCTGTTTCTGCTCCCATTTGTCTGTGCAACAGTTTTAGGGCAGTTAAAATTGTGGGAGAGGGTAGGGTTGTAGTAGACAGGCTGCTTGCTGGGAGGCATGAGACTAAATTAGGTGGTAGTGCAAATCATCTAGCGTGCAAGTGGAAGCCAAAACTAATGTGTAGTTCATACCCAGGTCACCACAGTATAAAATAGTTTCAGCTTCTTTTTTAAGGACTCCACAGTAACTGATGTGCCTTATATCTACAAGTGGAGAAGAGAGCAGTAGATAGAAAGCCAGCTGCTCACAAATACTAATGGAGTATTGTTTGGCTTAGTACACATCATACTCATGAAAAACAAAATCAGGCAATTTTCTGCATTTGAGGCTGAGACCTAGAATCTCCTAACACTATTTTGAATATTGGCCATATTGCTAAGATTCTACACAGACTTTCTAGTCTTTGAGCAATCCAAAATTGCTCTAAGGAGTAGCACTGCCTTTCTGCTGCAAGACTTTGAAAACAATGGTCCTTGTTTATAACACAGCAAATAAACAACAAGAATATTAACAACAGCAACAACAGTAATAACAACTTTAAGTAGAAATAAACACACGGCAATTACTTTACATTGCTTTGGACCCATCATTCACAAGATGGGTTCTCGTTTGGCAGGTGTGGTCAAGGACAATGTTGTCTCCTGACTAGGAATGAACTTTCGGAAAGAGCGTTCCCAGTAGGAAGGTTTAGACCTCAAAGCGAGTGTTTACGTGACTAGCTCATTTGGTAACATTGAACAGCATTTATTTTTAATTTGTATGCCTCTCCTTTAAGTAATACCCTTCTCCTCTTGACTTCACTGGGAGCTCCACATGTTTTGCCTTTGATTCCGCTGCATGCTGACAACTCTAATTAGTGTTAACAGGAGTTTCAGTGGAGTTTCTCATTCTCCCTCTTTCTCTGTAAAAGAGTTTACAGATTGGGAGTTGGAGCTATATCAAACTGGTACATGGTACCTATCAGGAATGTATCTTCCTGTCTGCTCTGTCCCTGGCAAAATGGAACTCAAACTTTTTTTTCAGGCTGCATAACAATGGTGGCATAACTATGAGAAAAATTACATTGATCATTTTAACGAACTCCCCTCAGTTGTGAAAAGACTGCTTAGTATTGGTTTTGATTTTTAACAGTAAAAATTTCAGCTAGTTAACACAGTCTTTCTCTGTAAGTTGCTATTATAGTAACTTGGTGCAATAAATGAGTTAGCTCAGTTCTCTAGGGCTAGAACCTGCAGCTCATACTGAACCTCAGCCTGTTCTGCCCTGTAGAAACTGCTTTGAATTTCAGAGATATTTTGTATAGGGAAGAAATACTGTTCCATTTTGAGATTTTAATCTCAGACTTTCATGCACATATGTACAGACACGATGAACAAAAGCCCCCTTTCTTCTTCTTCCTAAGAACTATTGCATTTGGCTTTCTGTGCTCACATAACCCTCCTTCCAATATTTCAAAAGACAGAATTTCCCAGCATGATGATAAAGTTTTCCTGTGTTCCAATAATAAAAGTTGAATGTGCCAGTAATTTCCAGTTCCTCTGTGGTCGGGCAGCCTGTGAAGACTAAATCAGAAGTATCCAACCTGCAGTATCAGTGTGGGAGTCGGAAACAGATGTTCACCGGACAATACAATTTGTTGTCACTGTCGATACTATATGGCACTTTTCCCAACAAAAATTGTCTGTAGCTGAAAAGGAATGTAGGGAATGATTCATGCTCCAAATTATTATTTGTTAAATTACTGTTAATGTTAAATGCTCTTTGTTTTGTTTTGTTTAAAATGTCTGAATCGAGGAGGCACAAGCACTCAAAATACAATTAACTGGGGTTGTAGCATCTGTATACTCTGTGAACCAATTAATTTAAGGCTTTTTTCATCAAGACAAGACATTTTAAAACCAAGAGTCAAATTCTCTTCTTTAGAATCAGGGTACCTTTTAATTTTGTAAAATATTTGCTCAGTAGCTATTTACACAAAAAGCACATGACAAGACGTAAATGAGACAAATAATTTTGTGCATATCTGAGTGTGTATCTATGAAAATTAAAAATTATTATATTCATATAATAGTATTTTTATACATATAATAACATCCTAAAGTAGTTTATGCCTTGGAAATTCTAATATGCCATTTGGGCATTCAAAACTGATCAACACTCAAATGAAAAGTCCTCTATTAGCATATGATAGTAACATATGATGCCTAGCCTTGATTTCCAAATTTCATGAATATTACAAAAGCAGAAGCACTAGATCATACTTACTGTAAAAGGCACTGGATTGGGTTAGGTGCTTTGTAAATTAAATATTAATTTTTTCAGGGATACATCAAATATATGGGAAAAAAGAGGATGTATAAAGCCAAATGATATCCAGCCTAAACACAAATTAATATATTCAGTAGAAGTGTCAAAGAGAGAGCTAAAGATCTGAATGCCAGAAACCTTGGATATAGCACCTATATTTACATGAAAAAGTAACACTAGTTATTTTCGAAAATGAAGACACTGGGATTTGAATTGGAGTTCACTGAAACCAGGGACAAAACTCACATGCAGCCGCTGACTGTTGTATCTCTAGCAGGCTTTCCTTAGAGATATTAAAAAGAGGAAAAGGTGTGTTTAATCACAAGGCCTGAACAAGAACAAATGATTCTAGCACTGTAAAATCAAACAGTTGTCTTATTTTTACAAATGCATGTGGTAACACTTCACACTAATGTTTTTGTAATACTAATTTTGCATTTACTGTGTTTACAAGTCAGCATGTGACGAGACAGAATGAAATAGCTGATGAGGTAACATTTAGCACACATGTAAGCAATGTGCTGAATTTTTGTGTGTCTGTATATGTGTATTTTTATATACATTCTTGGGTCAAACTGAGTTTTTCATCAACTAAGTGTGGGCAAGTGCCAAAGTGATTTAGGATTAGAATGGGATTTAGGCTGATCTAGCTACGGTTGTATTTCTCATTTCATCATCGTGCCAGGAATACTGTGACAGTTGTGGGTTTTCTTTAATTTATGAAATAGACAAAATTAAATGCCCATACCAGACATACTGTTTGGTTATGGGGAGTGAAAGAGAAATTCTGGGTTAGGCCTTATTCTTTTGTCTGCACTCAGAAGAGTCTTGAATGTACAAAACAGCTGGGAAACTTCCTATGTAGCACACAGCTTGAAAAATGAACTCAAGACTTTTTTTTTTTAAATCAGTCTGATTAGGGTTATTTCAAGTGACTGTTATTCTAGTTCTGCAGTATATCTCTTTGAAAAAAATGAATCAGTACAGAAGTGTGTTTTCTGGGTGCATTACATCATTTTTAATACTAACTCTTGAATTCCAATACATGGATTGTGATAGTTGAATTCCAATAAATGTTTTAGACTTTGAAGACTTGTCATTGCAATACCAGAGACAGCACGTGCTCATACAAAGTTTTAGTACTACTTATCATTTCAAAAATTAGTGGATTAAAACAGACTCATTTGCAAAATCGATTAATCTGCCATTTTCAATCATGCTGCTTTTTATGTGTTAATTTTTATCTACTGAATGGCATTTTGCTTTCTCTCTTCCTCAATTTAATTACCTTTTTTGAAAAAGAGAGGCTTCAGAAGGAGGCAAATTTTGATGTTCAGGTTGCAGGAAAGGTTTCCAAAGAGATGAGAGAAAAAGAGATTACTGAAATTAGCAGGACTGTGTCCCGCCTGCCAGCGAGTGGAGTGAGCAGCATTCGGAGGAGAGGAAACCCTTGGCCACCTTATAGTGTGGCTGTGTACACCAGAGTTAGTTAGAGTGCTCTGAATCTCATCTTTTGATCTCGGGCGATATTTTTCTCTGTTATGTCACAGAGGTCACCTGGCTCATGTGTGACAAACTGCCTGCATAAGTCACAGTGCCAGTGGCAGAGATTTGTAACCATGTCCCTGGTCCATTGCCTTTGAATTATTTCGCAGGCCCTCTGCTTTACATTTACACTCTGTCGGAAGATGAACAGGGGAAGGGAGTAAAATCAAGGGCAGGGTCTCATCCTGAAGGACAAGGGGAAACAGGTGGAAGGTTAATGGCCCTGGAGCGTATCCACAAGCCTCTCAGGCTTGATATATGGGCCTCAGGCCTAAAACGGGCATTGGCTTTCAAAGATATATTATTTCATTTGAGGAGAGACATTCTGGAGTTCCTGCATTTGTCTGCTGATAGATGATCCTCTGTCCACAATTGGTTATGGCGTGTGAGTTTTCCTTGGGCCTGCTCCCGTACATAAAAATTTTGCTGAGCTCTCCAACCTTTCGCATGCCTGTGAGAATGGGACGTGTGCGGGCCTTTTGGCAGGCGGCTGGATTTTTGTTGCTGCTATTTTCGTAGTTCCTTTTGAAGCGCCAGGCAAGTGGGGGATGAAAGGCACTTCTGTTCATTCATACACGGCTGGGAAGGGGCAGCTTCGCAGGGACGAAAATGGGGCACAAGAAGATGTGAGGGACCCATTATGCAGACGTGTGTCTGCAGCCCAGGAGGAAGTCACTCCTTCTGACCCCATATTTTATACCGGCACACACCCGCAGAAAGATAAAAATGGGGAAATGATTTACATAATTTTTATGACCTCTCTTCTTTTATTATATTACAGTTCTGTTAGGGTTTTGGCATGTGCTCCAGCTCTTGGGCAAAAAAACTAAGATAGTAACTCCATATCTTAAAATTACATTTACTGAGGCCCTCCTCCAGAACACTTACCTCAGGCACCATGGGAAAATGAGACATTGCTGCCCATGTCCTAGCAAAGGCCCAGAGGACCCAGAGCTGGTTCTGCTGAATGCAACAGGACCACACTGCGGGCAGGGCAAAGCCCTAGCAGGACCCGGACCTGTTCCGTCTGTTGTGCCCGACTGGAAGAGGCACTTAGGCATGTATGGAGGAGCCTGGTGTGGCAAAGGCCTCAGTTCACAGAGGGAGCAAGTCCTGGATTCCTATGGCGTCTTCTGTCATTGCATAACTGCTGTAAATTGCAGGAAAATCTGTTTAAAAACCAAAGAGTTTAACAAAAAATCCCAAACCCCTTAACATATATTATGGTTTAGCATAGCCTGCATAACCGATTGCTGTTATCTTGATTTTTACCTGATTGCAGTTACTGTTATAGGATTATGTCTCTAAGACCTATTACTCCATGACAGCATGATTTAAGGAAAGTAGGGTGTATATTTTCACTACATAAACTATATTCATTTAGATTTCATAACAAATAACTTTTCAGTTTCAGTAGATAGATTTTGCTTGAAAGAATTCACATTAATTATGCTTAAATATCTCCTAGTTCTACCTTTTTTATTTTTCCTGTGCTGCTAAAAAAACAAAGTAAGTGCAGTATATATGTTGTAAGTTTCAATGCAGTTTGTTTGCTTTGGTTTTGCTACAGTAAAATTTGTACTTACTTAAGTTGTAAAATATTTTTACGGTGTTGTTTGAGTAATTAAGATCTGCTTTTGCTATCACTTAAGTCAATTGTTAAACTCTCAGCGCTCCACTGCAAGCAAGATCGGGTGCATTCTGCATTTCAGTCACTTTCTGTAGAAAATGTGCTGGTGCAATGCAATTACTGTTTCTTCATTTAGTGTTCTGCAGAGTTTTAGTTAGACAAGTAAGCTAAAAACTTGAGAGATATTTAGCATCTCCTGCAGCAGTAGGAAGGAAATCTGAGGACTTGTTAAAAGGAAAGATTTAGGAGCAGAAATTCTACAGAGAGAACTGAACAGAGTGTTAGCAGGAAGGAGGATCTGCTTTTCCACTTGTTGCTTTGATAACGGATAAAAGGCTGTCATGAACTGCAGGCTACCAGCTGGGAGCAGATAGAGTAATCCCAGCAGAGGGCTGGCCCCAAACTACACAGGCATTCTTTTAAATCTTTGAGACTATAGGAAAGTTGTTTTTCTCCTACCATTGTCATCATTATTCATGATGATGTGTTCCACCCCAGTTTAAAATGTTGGTCTAGAAAATCTACTTTACAATACTTTTCTGTTTGAAATGTAAGAAAATATCACGTAGACAGATATTTCAGCTATTTCACTCAACTACCTAAAGATTCCCAAAATAAATTCCAGAGAACTGGATCTGCCATCACGTACCACTGCTGTAAGAAATCTCTGTCATTTGATTGTAAAGGTATATTGTGCCCAACGTGCAGATAATCATAGGAACAATTTGGAACCTATGTCTTCCTTGTAATCAACACGCTTGATAAATGAAATCTAGAGGATGTGTTACTTGAAAGAGAATGGCAAGAGAATGTCATTTGTTAGAAAATGAGCCCAAGCGACCCCTGCACGGCATCAGTGCAAGCAAACACAACAACAGACAGAGCCCAGCAAACCCCTTCACATGGAGCTGTACTGATGTGCATTGTGCCACCAAGGTCATGTTACCAACATGCTTAGACACAGGCAGGACTGGGCCAATAGCATTTGTTAGCATGTGTACAGATGCTTGACAAGCCATGGTGTTTCAACCTGCATTATTGAAGAGAAAGAACAAAAAATACTTGAAGCCCCGATTGTCATTCTATACTGTTCATTTTAATGATATATGTAGGGGTCTAGCTTACTTTGTATTCTTATGTGTAATTACCCATATAAAAAAACACCACTCATTAGTGTTCTGTTCCACTGACTTAATTATACCCCTTAATTAAATCTTGACTAACTGGGGGTCACTGCAGTGTCAGTGGGATTTGTCACTGTTTGTCAGCAGGTGTCTGGTCACATCTATTTCTGGTTTCCCTGTTGCTGTATGCTGTTTAAGAGCACAGTCTTTTCTAAATGCAAAGGACAATTATGCATTACCTTGCTGTGTTTTGTTCCTTAAAGAAACATCAGTGAATCTGTTCTGTAATACTAGCGCTCTCCCAATCTTTATGTACAGGAGATGGGGAATGTAGCAAATATAAACCTTTTCAAAACACAGCTCATTACTTCACTTATGCTCCTTTTTCAAAGGCTTAGTCTTCCTACACTTAAAAGACATGGTCTTATTAATTTATCAAATAATCTTATGTTCAACAGGCATAAAACCATCTTGCAAATATCAATCCAGGGATACTTCTCCTTTTCCCTATCTCCTAAACATGAAATGAATTTGAAACATGACCAGCAAGAATGAGCTAAATCAATATTACATGCATAACAAATACTACATGACATGTGCTGCTATTGCTGTGCTGCTCTGAGTCAGAAGACCGAAGCTCCCGACTCACTGTTCCCTGAATAATTCAATTGGAGTTCTGCATGTGCAATAAGTGCATAATAGTGTCATTTCTGTCTATTTCAAATTTGCATGTTTTGGGTTTGTTATTTTAGAAAGTTACTTAGGGGAAATATAATTCCCCTGTTTACGCATATAATAGGTACCTAATGTTCATCTGAATAATTGATTAGTCAAGTCAGGCTTTCATAATTAGCTATCGGCTTTCCAGTGTAAGCCCACAAAACACTTGTCAATCTACAGACATTTTTAATTTATTAATATATATATTATCAAAAGAACTGCAGTAGTTACCTAGAAAGCATTTATTATTTATTCTGTCGAGGCTGAGGAAGCATTTAGATTCTAGACATGTATTTTGAATCTATTGTAACTTTCCCAGAAGATAATTTTTTTGTTCTGAAAGTTTTCATAAATGTTCTCTGCCTGTAAGCACTTGCTTACAGTGGAGATTGGAAAGATGGTTTTCAAAAAAAAAAATCCATTCCTAGGTTACACAGAAGCTAGTGACATATTTCACTAACTATAAAACAATGTATATTTCTTATTTTTACTCAGATACCTAACAACAATCTAAATAAATGCCACTAGTAGACATCCTTAATGCAGCCACAGACTCTGTGACCAGACAGATGTATCTGTTGATAGCACAAGTGTGACAGTGATATTGCAATTATGAGTTGTGCAGCTATATGGTAAATTGAAGAATTATAAGATAAATTGTATTTATCATGAACTTCATGATGCCACTTGAATTCTACCACTATTACACTTTTGCTTCTGCATGTTCCTGACCAGTTTTCAAGTGGTGGGTTTTAAAGGAAAAGAGCATCCTCCTTACTCTAGAAGTGTATTTTGAGCCCAATGGTATGAAGTTTATAAACCAAAACATTTGATCGTGAAATCCAGAATGATTGTTCAGTTCTTACCCGAAGTATACTTAAGATTGAACATCCCATAAAACAATAGGACTAGAAATCTTTTGATTTATATTATTGAGAAACAAATTTTATGTTTCCATTGGGAGGCAGCATTTACTTTTAGCACTTCTTGAGTGTGAGACACTGAATTTTTAAAAGATAGCATTATTATTATTTATAGAAAAGGTATTTTAGTTCTATATATGCTATGTTTACTTTCCCTGGCCCCTGTTCAGAAGAATAACCTTCATTTTAGTGAAAATATATAAGCATCAGCTTCCCATTAGTGAGATCAGGACGAGTGCTTTTCTGAATCAAAGTCCTTCTGATGCCTGTACTGTTTGAAGTGTATTAAGTTCTGTGCTTTGTAAGTTGAAAGATACAAATATAATATCAGAATTCTAAACCCCTTTTAGATCTAAAAGACTTCTATTATAGAATAGCTTTTTAGTTTGGAAAGAACATGATGAAAAAACCACAACATAGTGGTAGGAAAAAAGTATGCCCATTTTGGTGGTGTGATTTATTTAATTGTGGTTCACCACTTCAAATTATGTGGTTTCACAGAATTCACAGAAGTCCTTGAGCAATACTACAGCATCTTGTGTACCACAAGTATTATGTATATACTCT